ATGCTGTGGCACATGGCTTAATTTTGAACTTCATGAATTTATTTTCTTTCTCCCATTTAGGGATTAATATATAGCATTATATCTTTTGTTGTGCTCTATAATGATATTTTTTTTGAATTGTTTCAAATGGTTTTATTGAATTTTGGGATCTTAGACTTTTTAAAAATAATTATTTCCTTATTAATCAATTATTGGTTGTGATGAGTGTTATAAACTTTTCTAGTATCAAGTGGATGTTGGAAGAGGTTACAAGTTGCGCTTGCATAACTAGAGGAGAAGGGGTTAAGGAGTCATGGTCATGAGCATCAAACATAAAGGAAAAAAATCAATGCTGCCAAAAGTAGAGGAGAAGAGGCTGAAGTTGGAGTCCAGCATAAAAATGACGGACTTAGGGTGTTGCGATGATCATGAGGCCTTAAGCCAGGTTAACTAGATATGGTTCATTATAAATTTGACTCTATGCTTGTAAATTTATCTATGACTCCATATTCATGAATTCCATGGTCTCCAATCCCATCTCTTAACATCTAGAATTGTAACATTTCAAATCCTTACCCTTTGAATTAATTAAGTCAATAATATTTTAAGAGAGTTCAAGGGTATTTATATATATTGAAAAATGATTTTATAATCAATTAGGGCCTAGAAGAAGATAATAATATGAGCTTCTTTTGAAATCAAAGGTTTTCAAAGGGCAAATGATAATAGTTTTAAGTAATTATTTTTGCATTTGAAAGTAAACACCTCAAGCTTTCTATAGAATCTTCAGCTAAAAAAAAATTGTAGAGTCTTATTTCATAATTTTTGAAAATGTGTGGAATTAATTATGAATTTTTGAAATTGAGTTAGTGAAATTGTGCCGTTGGCCATGGCGAGTGACACTTTTGGCTACAACACAAGATATGTTTTCATACTTAAATTTTCTATCATGAAATAAAATGGCAAAGGTGAATTTTTGAGAGGGTTGGGCAATTTTTGAAGAGCTCTGCTAGGGTTTCATGAAGCATATGTAGTAAGCACGTTTTTAGGCCCCTAATCACTTAGGCAACCTTCCATAATCCCTTCTCTACCTTCTAACCTCCTCTTTAAGCTAGTTTGTGTAGAGACTATGTTACAGTTTTCATTTTTTAGGATGCCTAGCCATTGGATTCAAATTATAAGGCTCGTTTGAAGCTAAATAATTATTATCTAGGTTGTTTTGATGATATTTATCATAAAGGGGTGCTTATCCGAAACTGTAGAGTTGTTTTGGGTTAGATTAGGCTAATAACAGTGGTTTAAAGTTAACCCTAATGCTAAAAAACTAAGTTTAAGCTAATGATGTTAGCTAACAATGTTTATTAAGTTTAATAAAGATTAAATAAGTTATTGGAAGTGAGTTTTGGAGTTGTTTTGCTTAATCATGCTTAATGAGGTTTTAAGGCCTTAATTGTGATTAAGGTTAATTAAAGACGATTAGTCATTCATGTTTTATGTTAATTATTAATTGTAGTTGATTGCTTTAGAGCTCATTGAGCTTGTTGGAAAGCTCATTTGGAATCTAAATTATACTTTTAGGGTGGTAGTCCAAGGGCGAAGGTAACCGGGAGTTAAATTCTTTTAGATAATTATTGTTTGCAATTACAAGTTGTATGTTATTGATTATGGAGCATTATGTGATATATGGTTATGAGTTTGTTAATGATGAAATGGAGTGATTGTTTTGGTTTAGGTTGTGTGGTTACTAAGCATAAGGTGTTGATGGCATTAGGACTATTGAAATCTTCATGAGTGTCAATTATGGGCATGTGAATTTATGAACATGAATATGAGAATTTGGATATATGATTAAGTGATTGAATGTTTATGGCATGATGCTAAAAATTGAGTATAAATATATGACTTGATAGGGTGATCTTGTGCATGAACAAAGTTGTTAAAGTATATGTTGATGATATGTTATTGAGCATAAGCTTATGATATTAGCATGAAATTTAAACATTAGTTATTTATTCTTGGCTTGATAGTATGTGATTGATTATGAAATAAGTTATTTAAGTTTGTATTTATGACATGTCAATAACACGAGCATGTTGCATGATCATGGATGGGTGGGAATTCACTTAAATGAATAAGGGCATTACAAAAAATTCATATGGTGTAGCTACCATCAAGATTTGTGCATAATAGTTAGAATATTTGATTACAGTGCGTGCTATGTCCATTGTCTTTAGAGAACAATATATGTTAGTATGCTTGCTTAAGATCACTAGTGTTCTAGAAAGGATGATATAGGTCATGGCAACTATGACACCTAAGTATTCGAGAAGGGAAAATTCATGGTCTGAGAGTGGGGAGCAAGTACCTTGGCTAGCTAACCTCTCACAATTGGAAAGTGGGCCTAATCTAGTCACACATGTTAGTTTTATATGATTTGATAGCTCATATATTCAGTTAGAAGATATAAAGAGAGTAAGAAGGATGGAATGTATATGCTCAAGCATAATTATCATCATTGCATTATATGCCTTGTGATTAATGATTAATAGTCTTATAATACATGCTGAATATTAAAAGATTCTTAATTATGATTTCTTGCCTACGTGCTTGTATTTGCCATACTTTTATATACTTGAATTTATGTGCCTTGGTTACTAAGATTGTAAAATCTCATTCTAGTTTGTTAACATATTTCTAGGGGACATCAAAGTGAAAGGAAAAGGGGAAGCCTCCGAAGTCAAGGACTAGAGCTTGTTGTTGTAAAGTCTCTAGTCTTCTTGTAGTGTAATTGAATACATATTTTGTCAACTTAGGGATTAATTTTAATATGTTAACTATTTATCATCTACATGTAACTGTCATTGTTACATTTGGGCAATTTTTGGTTATTAGGCCTTGGACTTGAGAAAGGCCATTATTTGCATATTTGTGGTTATGATTGGTACTTCTTATGTCTTGGATTTACTTGATAGGTTATTATGATCATGAGTATTTACAGTTGTAAATCATTTATAAGTGGTAAATTATGATGGTTCAAGAAGGGAGGCACTTGAGGGTGCTTTTAGCATTAAAAGTTTGTTTCGTGCTTAATGTTCTAAGATCCTCATACAATACCCAATTGGAATTAAATGGAGCCTGTGGGTAGATTTTTAGATTATCTTTATGTGATCATCTAGAACACCTAAAGCAAAGATTCACGCTATTAATTAGGTGATTTAAAAGTTAGAATTTTATGTTGCATATTTTTGTTTTGTCAGGGGGCTTCCACAGTGGCAGACTATGCCATTAGCCACACCGAGTGGCCTCCGTGCCATTGGTCATGGCTAATGGTGTGTTAGTCATAGTGAACACACCTTATTTCGTGAAAATTACTGTTTTATCCCTATTTGACCTATTTTCAAATGTTCAACTCTTATTCCATGTTTTCCACAATTTTTTCTACTTTGATTTAAAGTATTTTCAAGAATTATATTTTATTGTTTACTTTCAATAATTTTTGGAATCCCACTATTCTCAATGCTTTCAAAGTCAATTGTTACAACAATCTTAGGCAAGGTTGATTCTTAGTTTTAATATTTAGTTTAATTATTTTGGGTTTAAGAATGATTAATGACAAAGGTCGTTACAAGAATCACTAAAGAAGGTTGTCCTCTTTGCTGCATCTCTAGAAATCTCTAGAACCCAATCTTCTATCCCAAATTGTCATCGTCCATGGATTCCTAGTACTACATTTCCTAATTGTTGCCATCCATCTTCGGACCCCATCTTTGATTCCTTGCGTTGTGATTTTTTTTTTTCCCAGCTTCCATGGATTGATTTTTTATTTATATGCTTCATCTCTCAAACTTCAATTTCTTACTCGTTAGAGGTTAAATTGTTGAGATACTTCAATAATCAAATGATCATCGGATTTTGATTTTTGGTTTGATTTTCTCTATTCAAACCTAGCCCCCTTAAAGATTTTTATTTTTGGTTTTTTTTTTCATTTCTCGTTTGCATTCTGATTTGTTAATTTGTTCGGTGTGTGAATTTATGGTTTTTGTTTGTTTTGGTTTGCATCATGGTTATTTCATTTCTGGTTTGCATTCTAGTTATTTCACTCAGATTTCCCGTAACAATTGCTAGGGGTGCCTTAGTGGAGCAAAATGATGATAGTCGGGGAAGATGATGAAAAAAAATGAAGGAAGGAGTAAACAATTAAACATACAACCATTATTTTTTTTCTTAAAACAATTTACTTTCAGATATGAAATCTCAGGTGGCTTATTTAACAGTCAAATGGTCAAAATAAATAATTAGTGTGGTCAAACCATTAACTTAGGGCAAATTCGTACCATTTTAAAAAATTTCAGGACAAAATTATGTCTTTAAATATTTTAAAATACCAAATGTATTTCCAGAAAAACTTTTGGACATATTTGTACTTCAATCCAAAATAAATTTCCTCATCATCAATTCTATCGTTTAGAGAGGAATAATTAAACTCCTTGCTAACCCAACTTTTTCTAATAGCCCATGTTTCATCATAGAAAATTTTAGGCAATTACATAATTGCACCAGCTTCTTATAACTACACCTATAATTATTTAAACCAAATTAGATCTCTGTCGCTTGACCCAATCCATCAACCGTGTAATCTAACAGGTTTTTTCCCCTTTTAACTTCTAGCTGTCTCTGTCGAGGATATTACCGACTGTGTTAATAGTGTATTTACTGTAGCAGCACTTGACTTCAAACAAAAATACGATGAAAAGTCAAATATACTACTTTTCCCCTACAAAGTTCCACCGCTTTCAAGGAGACCACATATATCTTCAAGCCCTTTCGATATCACGTAAAATAAGTTCTGAACTTTAAATTTTACACCTAACATATCAAAAGGCTTCAATAAATGCCCAACCTCATAATCTTCAATCACACTGATTTTCGCTAAGCAATTATTATTCCCAACAACTTCTCCACCCAAGCCTCAAAAATCATACTTCCATTAATATTCCAAACCAATATTTATTGTATCACATTAGGCCTTTCTCATACCACTGATCTCAACACAATGAAGGGCCAAAGAATTAGCAATATGTCATTCACCTTCATGCTGTGCTTTTTTTTCCTTTTGGTTGTTCAGTTGCTTTCTCTGGCTACTAGAAGTACTGCCGCTGCCGGCAGTGAAGTTCCGGCGATCATCGTCTTCGGTGACTCCTCGGTGGACGCCGGCAACAACAACTTCATCCCGACGGTTGCCCGGAGCAATTTCGAGCCGTATGGCCGGGATTTTCAAGGTGGGAAGCCAACAGGGAGGTTCAGCAATGGAAGAATACCAACAGATTTCATATCTGAAGCTTTCAGAATCAAATCGTACATTCCTGCATATTTGGATCCCAAGTATAACATATCAGATTTTGCCACGGGTGTTACCTTTGCTTCTGCTGCGAGTGGTTATGACAATGCAACTTCAGATGTACTGGTGAGAATTTAACTATGCTATAATGGTTCTTTTATTTTTTGGGTAACTATATACAGCTCAAAAAAATGTTAAATAGCCTAGCTATACCTTTACTTGTTTAACTTTATATGAGATTTTATGTTGGCCATTTAATTTTATAAAATATCTTTTTAATTCTTTAACTCTAATGTTATTAGTTTTATCATAGAAGATTTTTATATTAAATTTTTAAATATTGACATATTAAATTTAATTTTTTAAAAAATAACAATGGTTGGCACAAAAAATAACAATTTGAAACTAATGATATTAGTATTAGAACATGAAAAAGATACCTTATAAAATTAAGAGATCAAATTAAAACCTTATCTAAAGTTAAAGAATTAAAAGTATACTTTAACCTTTTCAATTTAATCTGGTTAATTTTGTGAATATAATTTGAAATTTGTTTAATTATTTTAATAGATAGAGCAGCAAAATTGTATTTGATTATCAATATAATTACATATTGACATAAAGATGATAATAATAATAGTAATAAGAGAAAAATAAAGAAAAAATGTTTTTATATTTTTAATTAATTTTTATAATTTACTTTTTATAGTTTGAAACACTCTAATTCGGATCTTATAGTTTAAATGATTTTTAATTTAGTCCATATTTTATTTTTGTCAATATTTTACTGCATATATAATTTAGTTTTACTTTATCATCCACAATTTGTTTACTTTTATTGAAATAAATCATAACATTTTCACAAAATTTTAACTCGACAAAAGCAAAATTTCCGTAGACTGGGAATGTTCAACTATAAAGTTCTAAAATGAATTTCGGACCAGATTTATTATTGAGAGAATTACAGTTAGATCTTAGAATATTGAATTAATGACAAGTAAGTCCTTGGCAAATTTTTTTAAAAAATAAGTTAAAAATATTGATTCAGATAATTACAAATTAAGAAGTTTTAATTTCAAATAAATATTTAAATATCAAATATAACTTTCGAATTAAAAGAAAATTTTTTATTTATAACTGTTTGAATTAATATTTATAAATAATTTTTTAAAAAATTTTATTGGGACATAATCATTATTAATTCAATTTATTGGGACCTAATTGTCATTTTTCCTTAATATTTAAATCCAGGGTTATAGTTAGGTACCGAATACATAACCTGTTTTTAATGTTTGACTATAAGGGTCATTTTCAAATTTAAAGAATACATAAAATATTCCTTCTTATTTTATTTAAAAACACTTCTAATTATTTATCAAAATTAATAAGAGATAATTAAATTATTAATTTTTTATAATAAGATAAAAATTATTAATTTACCCTTATTGAATATATCATTTTTTAAAGGGGCTTTTGCAAATATAGCTCATATTATCAAACCAAATCAAATAAATAGCCCAACATTTATTATATTTTATATTATAACTAGTTTATTATATTTGTCAATGATATACCCTTGTATATTAATAATAAATTCTAGATAAATTTTTAAATTTTTAATGATAAAATTCTTATATATCAATGTAAATTGACCATATTTTCACATTTTTAAAAATTCGATCCATATTTTTCAGGCACAGAATTTTCATTAGCTAGTGAGCCAATTTATCCTTTTTTAAAAACACACTCTCTTAGTTAAGATTTTTACTGTTTACTGATCAAAAATTGTGAAAAGATAAAGTTGGATGAAAATAATTTAATGATCCACCTTTTTAATGAAAGTGACTTATTAAAAAGACCTTACTTTTAAAAAATGACTCTCATATAGGATGAGAAAAAGTATTTGTTTCACATGCTGCCCCTTATCAATGCATCCATTAGTAGTTATTTGAAGAACATCTTTTTTGAGAAAGTATTAGATTAATTTTATACAATTTATATTATTTAATGATTTTAGTGGCCAAAGTAAAAAAAATATTGTTGTGACCATTTTAAATTTGTAAAATAGATGGAGTATTAAAAATGAAATAGATCATTATATTGAATAGATCAAGACACTCATCTACAAGAAAAATGATCAAACTATGCAAACAAGTTATAAATAAAAAAATAAGGAGAAAAAACATTCAGGTTTCACAGAAGATAATTTATTACTAAAAGGTTCTATAAAATTTATAAAATACTTCAAGCCCCACATCCTATACACTTATAATTTAACTAAAGGCATCGATAATTGGGTAACAGCCATTTACAACTTACTATTAGAGATTGTCATTTATTTTCACAAGTTATAAATGGCCGACTTTTAATTGTTAATACTCTTGATCAAGTTGTAAATATGCATGATCTAGAACTTGAGAATATTTTATAAATTTCATAAATCTTTTGTTATAAATTTCTTCACATGGGACTTAAATTTGTAATTTTTTTTCATATATAACAAATTTTATTGGCGGTCAATGCATGGGTTCATCAGTTTACAATTCAAGCGGTGGTAATTCAATGCTATATGCTTTTTTACTTTCTGAAATTTCTTATTCAAAACAAAGATCACTCAAGAATCTTCCATAATTATTGCAGTCGGTGATTCCATCATGGAAGCAGCTAGAATACTACAAGACTTACCAGAAGAGCCTCCGAGCCTACCTCGGAGAAACAGCAGCGAGCCGGACGATAAGCGAAGCATTACACATGATGAGCTTCGGAACAAACGACTTCCTCGAGAACTACTACGCCATGCCCGGTGGCCGGTCGTCGGAGTACTCGCCGCAACAGTACCAGGACTTTCTGGTTGGGATCGCCGGGAACTTCATCCGGCAACTGTACGGCCTTGGCGCTAGGAAAATATCCCTCGGAGGGTTGCCGCCGATGGGTTGCTTGCCTTTGGAGAGAGCGACGAATATTGCCGGCGGGAACGAGTGTGTCGGTAGATACAATGACGTGGCTATCGAGTTCAATGCAAAGCTTGCGAACTTGACCATGTCGCTGAACATGGAACTTCCTGGGATCAGATTGGTGTTTTCGAATCCGTATTATATGCTGCTGTACATCATCAAAAACCCTGCTCGCTTTGGTAAGTTCAAAGTAACTAATTAAGACATGACTTATATGTGATTTACTTGCCATGGATGCTCTAAGTAAAATGTAGGGAGAATGACAATTAACTCCCAATAAAATAAATTAATAACATTTAAGTCTTTAATAAAATTTCTTGTAAAAATAAATTATAAACATCAATTCAGATAATTAAAAATAAAAATTTCTGTTATAATTAAAAATTATATTTAATATTTTAATATTTATTTATAATTAAAATTTCTGAATTTATAATAATTTGGATCGATATTTTTAACTTATTTAAAAAAAAACATTATTAGGAATTTAACTAATATTAATTTAGTGATTTGAGACTTAATTGTTATTTTCTGTAAAAATTTATTTGAACAAGTTTTTTGAATTTAATTATTTTTAAAATTGTTCTTATCATTTTTGTTTTTAAAAAATAAAAATATCTTAAAGTTATATTTTTTTAAATACATTACATGAAAATTATGTATTCATCTTGACTAATTAGTATCACAAGCCACTATTATTAACCATTAGAAGCCATCACTTTGCTGATTTTTTTAATTCTAAAATGATTTTTAAATCAACACAATCAAAATAGATTTTGTTCTTTTCTTATTTTGAAAAAAATTTTAAAAATTGTATTGTAAAATAATTTTTTTAAAAAATAGAAATCAAACAAGTCTTTAACCTTTTGTTTTCTATTTTTCAAAATAATTAAAAAATTAAAAATTTTATTTGGACAAATTTTTGGATTTTATTGTTTTATCATTTTCTTAAAATAAAAATATCTTAAAGTTGTTTCTGTTTCTATTTTTAAAACACGCAATATTTTATAATTATAAATTATCTTTAGATATGACAATCACTATTAACAATTGGCAACCATGACTATCTTCCATTTTTTAAACTCTAAATTTTTTCAAATTAAAATTATCAAACAAATTTTTGTTTTGATTTGTTTTGAAAAATATTTTGAAAAAAACTGGTTTACAAAAAAGTTTTTAAAAAATAGGGTGGGGGGAAAAACTATACAAGCCGCACATTTTGAAAAGGATTTGGACATAGGAGCCATGTATTGATCAAATTCCCATGGTGAACAAAGGAATTTAATTTAATAGTGATAGTTGTGAGTAAGTAAATTTTAATGTATTTTATTCAACTGTAAGGCCTCCTCCACTCAATTAACACTTATTAATTAAATATTAAAAAAAATAACCCACAGGGTCGGATCTAGCTAAAGAGATGAGTCCTTTATAACATGATAAACTAAGATTTAAATTTTTACTAAAAGATGTGTCTATATTTAATGCTTAACTGTATTTCAAACTGCATTCCCTTCCCTCAAATACCTGTTTATTATTATTTTATTTAATTCATAAAAAAAAAATTCAAAACAGGGTTCAAGTCGACCTCCGTGGCATGTTGCGGGACTGGAATGTTCGAGATGGGATATGCGTGCAGAAGAGGGAACATGTTCAGTTGCTCTGATGCTTCCAAATATGTCTTTTGGGACTCTTTTCATCCTTCTGAGAAAACCAATGGTATCATTGCCGATCACGTTGTGAAGACTGCTTTAGCTAAGTTTTTAGAATAACAACAACAATAAAGTAATTAAAATGACAATTTAACCCTTAAATTATAAATCTAGTTACAGCATCTAGTATCTTAAACTCATTTTTTGTATGTGTTTTCTATTCTAAACATTTAAAATTGTAACAATCTCTCCCTACTGTCAAAATTGAGAAAATGTTTTTCACTTTACTAGTGTTGAGCCCAGATGTTCTAATGGCCATAGTGTAATGCCATGTGTCATTTGAATGTCTAGGCCCCATACTTTTAAAGTAATGGACATTTCCTCAAGTTTAACGGTGAGAAAGGATTATAACAATTTTAAACGTTCAAGGATAAAAATACATACAAGTAAGTTTAGAATTCTAGATGTATGCTTTTGATTTATAGAATTAGGGGTTAAATTGTCATTTACTCATAATAATAATAATAACAACTTTTTGTGTTGTCAGTATATATAAATGTCAAGGTTTAGACTTGACAGTGTAAAATATAATTATAAACGCTTAGTATATGACTATTAAATGTGCTGATGATTGAGAAGGAAAAAATAAGCAGAATATTCTGTACTGAGTGTTGTAATATTGTTGTCTTTGATGTGAATACGATTGTGTATTTTTGTAATATGGTTGTCTTTGATGTGAATACAACTGCGGATGTTTATTTACTGTTTTATAGTATACTATATAGTCAGTTTTGCCAGTTTATTTTACTGTATATCAATTGCTTCCAAATTAATTTTTTATTATGAGAAAGAATATATTTTTAAATTTACAATTTTAATCAATTATTTTTTTCCATATAAATTAAAAAATTTTAAATGAGTAATTATCATTTACAAATTGATCGATATTGAGTACCGTTAAAATTTAGACATATTTTATTTTCTATGTAATTAATTATATATTAGCTTAAAAATATATATAGACTTCCTCTACACTTCTACCATTATATATTTTTTTTAAAAAAATAATATATAACAAGCTATAGTAGTTTACCCCAAAAAACGTCACATGTCAATTAAAATTATTACTACAAAAAATGAAATTACAGCAAAATCCATCATTAATTTTCATTACAAATATAGTGACAGAAAATACTTATCACTAATTAATAAATGTCTGTCATTAATTTATTTTATAATCAAAAATTTTTTGCTAGTTCAAACATTGCCACGTCAACTCCCTGTGCCTTGTCTCAAGTACACATTACCCTCATCACTTACCGCATCATCGCCACTTGTATCTCCATGTCACATCACCACCATATCAACAACTTATTTTAATTCTCTTTGCTTGTGACATTAACTCATCTCCAATCCAAGATCTTTTTCCCTTCATCCATTTCTTTTGTCAGTTGAATTGTAATAACTTTTCATACTTAATACACAAAAATTAATATATATTACTTGATTGAACACATACATTTAGCTTAATGTATTTTTTAATGTATTTAATATATTGTTATTTAAATATGTTAATAATATGTATTAATTTATATATATACACATTAACACATATAAATATATAAAATAGTATATATTATTAGTTAATAAATATATTATTTAATATCAATATTTTATTGAAAATAAGTATTTGTTTATATCATTTTATATTATCTATGTTATAATTAATTAAAATATTTTTATATGATAAAAATTTTATTTTATATTTAAATTTATGCAATAAAGAAAAATATTTTTATTTTATCTATATCATTTTATATTATATATTTTATTATAATAAGAAAAAAATTATTCATGTAATTATTTAATTTCGTAATTATTAATATTTTATTCATGTAATTCTCTCTATGTATATTATAAATTTTTTTATTTTTATATAATATTTAAGCACATTTTATCAATTTTTCAATTAAAAATATCAATCACTAATCTATCATTAACATAAAGATTTAGTTATAGTAATTAGTGACGGATTTAAATCTATCACTAAATTTATAAAATTTAACCAAAATATGATGACATCCTATATTTGCCACTAATCCTTTACTAATTTATGTAATTAGTGACAAATTTTAGTCCATCACAAAATTTTTATCACTAATAATTATAATTAGTGATGGATTGGAAATCTGTCATTAAATATCTGTCACTAATTTTAATTTTTCTAATAATGAACTGCACTTGTAGCATTTTCTTTTAAAAATAATTTTGAGGAGATTCCCTGCCTAAAAATAAAAAATATTTTAATAAAAATAAAATTTTATTAATGATACTTTTTTAATATTATTCTTCTAATTATATTGTCACGCCTCAAAAATTTGGGTGTAGTTGGTAGAGGATATTCATAGAAACCTGTATGCCTTAAGCCCTAACTTGAATTTTTTTTATTTTTAACACATGAATGTATTTTGACATAAGATTAGATTTTCCCACTATATATCAAACAAACAAGCATTTTAATACATATCTTTTCAACAAAAAATTCAGCACAATAACTAAAAGGAGCTCTGCTTCTACTAGCTACAGACAAACAATAATTAATTACAATGAGGATTTTAACTATAATATATGTAGAGCATCTAGTCATATTTTTAAAATAAAATACATAAAATTTGTAATTACTTATAAAATGATAATTTATCCCTTAAACTATAAGTTTAGCTAAAATATTTAATATTTTAAACTCATTTTTTGTATGCACTTTTTCCTCTAAATATTTAAAATTGTAACAGTCTCTCCGTGCTATTAAAATTTAAAAAAAAATGTTCTTTTTTAACTTTAATAGCGTGGAGCTTAGATGTTCCAATGGCCATAGTGTAATGCCATGTGTCATTTGAACGTCTAGGCCCCATACTTTTAAAATAATGGACATTTTCTCAAGTTTAATGGTGAGAAGATTGCAACAATTTTAAACGTTCAAAAATAAAAATACATAAAAATAAGTTTAGAATTTTAGATATATGTTTTTTATTTATAATTTAGGGATCAAATTATCATTTATCCATAATAATAATGACAACAACTTTTTTTTGTAGTCAGTATATATAAATGTCAAGGTTTAGGTCAGACTTACAGTGTAAGATATAATTATAAACGTTTAGTATATGACTATAAAATGTGCTGATGATTAAGAAGTAAAAAAGCAAGCAGAATATGTAATATTGTTGTCTTTAATGCGAATACAATTGCGTATTTTTGTAATATTGTTGTCTTTGATGTGAATACAACTGTGTATGCTTATTTTACTGTTTTATAGTATGCTATATGGTCATTTTTGCCAGTTTCAGGATTTTTATATCAGTTGCTTCCAAATTAATTTTTTATTATGAGAAAGAATATATTTTTATCTTTATAATTTTAATCACTTATTTGTTTTGTCCATATAAATTAAAAATTTGTAAGTGAGTCCTTATCATTTACAAATTTATAAATATTGAGTACCATTAAAATTTAGACATATTTTATTTTCTCTGCAATTAATTATACATTATATCTTCGCTTAAAAATATAATTCCTCTATTAAAAAATATAGGGCATTTTTAATTAAATCTCACCCTCTAATAAATCAGTTATCTAATTTCAAATTAACCTTATCTTTTTATATTTACTCTTATTAAATAGTCTATAATAAATATAAAGTCACTATCAATAGGATACTTTAAAAAAAGGCAATGATTACATATCAAAAGATTAAAAATATTTTATATTTTTTAACATTCAATTCTTCAAAAAATGTCTTACATTTTTTAACAGAGGGAATATATTGTTTTAAGAACTGGTGTTTTGTAAAACATATTCTGAGGATAAAAAAATGATAAAAATGAGTTTTTTTTATTCTTCCTTATTTTTCAGGATAATAATTTCAAAACACCTAAAAGATATTCTGTTTTTCTATTCTTTAGAATAATATTTTATTTTTTATTTTTAAAAACACTTTTTGAAAGCATGTTATTAAATATATTTTTTATTTTTTATTTTGAAGAATAGAAAACTATTTTTAAAATAGTTTATAAAACATGCCCTTCAATTTCCACTCGAGTTATATATGGATGTTAGCACATTTAATACACTGATGACCTAACACCAACCATATTAATATGCCACCCTGCATGCTGGTCAAAATAATAATAATAAAATGCCACCCTGCACTTTGTCTAAAAAAATTAATTTTGTGTCTCATCTATTTAATACATTTGCCTATTTTTTCCGCCATTCAATTAGAAGAACATTCATGTGGCCAACTTTCAACCCCTAATATAATTAACTACACTAAATGATTAAAAAGATTATTTTGCATAGGTTATGCACATTTTCACCAAGTCATTAAAATATATGTAATTCAATGTTATGAAAATCCAGTGTATTGGCAAATCAAATTCACAACTAATTTGGTCTTAATTTAACTTGATTAGGTTAATCACTAGAACCAAAAATGATGGTTACTTTAGCATAAATATGATGATTAAGGATCATTATATATTAATCTTTCATATAAAGTTCTACCTTTATATCTGATGGCGATTAAATCGTCATATATACTAAACATATATATGATAGTTAAATGAAATCGTCATATAAAACAACCCACAATTCGATCATCTTGATTTGGTACCATCAAATATAATGATAACTAGCAATACATCCGTGTGATACATGGGATATTTTTTATTTTTGTACACAATATACACACACAATCATTAAATGGTAAATTAGATTAATATGTAATTTAAATCTTGAACTATATGTCCAGGGGTGATTCAAACCCTAAAATTTTAAAAGATACATTTTGAACATTTGGTAAAAATCACACATTAGGCACCAATTTTTAAAAAACTAATGGATGTTTTTTAAATTTAACAGTAGAGATGAAATTACCTTAACTTTAATTATTTAGAATTCAGAATGTACCTTTTAAAATTTTAGGGTTTAATCGCTCTTGAATTTATAGTTCAGGGTTCACATTGCATATTAACTCTAGTAAATTTTATTTAAATATAGTATATAATTGGAATATTAAAACTTGTCACTTGTTACTAACAGGCATTATTCTAGGTATAATGGGTCATATAGCCGTTTAAATATGAGATCTTAAGTTCAAGTATGTGTGAATGCATAAAATATCTTTGCAAGAGTTATCTTCAATTAGAGCTAACAATGTTTAAACTTGAGCCAGTCAGATAAAAAAATTATTAGTTGTCATTTACTATCATCTAATCTATTTAGAGTAAAGGGGTAAAAATACTAACAAAATAATTAGCTATGGGCACTCAGTATCCTAAAGTGAGGAAAAAAATACCTATAACGTTACATGGATGGATGTAAAAGCAACTAGACCATTAATTTTGACCTAATGCCATTAATTTTAACCATTAAATGCTGATTGTACATGTCACATGTCAAGTTTTGGTAACATGGACTAATAAAAGAGCAAAAATACCCATAAAGTCATCGGTTAGGAGTAAAAAAATATTCATAACATTACCAGAGTTGGTGTAAAAGTGACCAATCCATTCAATCCCTTAAATGTTGACGGTTTAGCTAATATCTAAGTAAAAGTTAACCATTTTTCACTGATGTAGACAAAATATTCCTAGATGACTTCGATCATTATATGAATATCCCTTAAATATTCTTTGAAGATTAATTGATCATTATATGAATATCATATGAAAAAATATCATTTTGACTGAATATCAAATTA